TGTGTGCACGTGTGTGTGTGTGTGTGTGTGTGTGGTGTGTGTGTGTGTGTGGTGTGTGTGTGTGTGTGCACGTGTGTGTGTGTGTGTGGTGTGTGTGGTGTGTGTGTGTGTGTGTGGTGTGTGGTGTGTGTGTGTGTGTGTGTGTGTGGTGTGTGTGTGTGGTGTGTGTATGTGTGGTGTGTGTGTGCGCTGTGTGGTGTGTGTGCGTGCGTGTGTGTGTGTGTGTGTGGTGTGTGTGTGTGTGTGTGTGTGTGTGCACGTGTGTGGTGTGTGTCTGTGTGTGTGTGTGGTGTGTGTGGTGTGTGTGTGTGTGCACGTGTGTGGTGTGTGCGTGCGTGTGTGTGTGTGTGTGTGCACGTGTGTGGTGTGTGTGTGTGTGTGTGTGTGGTGTGTGTGTGTGTGCACGTGTGTGTGTGTGTGGTGTGTGTGTCTGTGTGTGGTGTGTGTGGTGTGTGTGTGTGTGTGTGTGTGTGTGTGTGTGGTGTGTGTATGTGTGGTGTGTGTGTGCGCTGTGTGGTGTGTGTGCGTGCGTGTGTGTGTGTGTGTGTGTGCACGTGTGTGGTGTGTGTGTGTGTGTGGTGTGTGTATGTGTGGTGTGTGTGCATGCGTGTGCATGCGTGTGCGTGCGTGTGTGTGCGTGTGGTGTGTGTGAGTGTGTGCGTGCGTGTATGTGTGTATGTATGGTGTGTGTGTGCGTGCGTGCGTGTGTGCGTGTGTGTGCGAGCGTGTGTGTGAGATGGCTTTTGCTTTTACAGTCATCATGGACACAAGTATAGGTTGCAACACTGAGGAGTTCCTCCTCGCACCCTGCGGTGTGTTGAGTCCCCTGTCCAGAAGCTACCCTCACTCAAAAAGTCAAGAGCTGGCTCACACCTTTAAGAGCCAGGCCAGACAGGGCTATGCCGTAATAGCCTGTCTTCAAACAACAACAATCCTATTAAGAAGTCAAAGCCGCCGGGTGTTGGTGGCCCACACCTTTGATCCCAGCACTCGGGAGGCAGCAGGCAGGCGGATCTCTGTGAGTTCAAGGCCAGCCTGATCTACAGAGTGAGTTCCAGGGCAGTCTCCAAAACAATACAGAGAAAGCCTGTCTCAAAAAACAAACAAAACAAACAAAAAAAAGTCAGCCTGGGGCATTGGTGGCACACACCTATAATCCCAGCACTCAGGAGGCAGAGGCAGGCGGATGTCTGTGAGTTCAAGGCCAGCCTGGTCTACAAAGTGAGTTCTAGGACAGCCAGGGCTACACAGAGAAACCTTGCCTGATTTTTTTCCCCTAACACCTAATGTCTAGCCCCTCTCTGGGCTCAGCTACAGGCCTTGTCCTTTCCTTGGCAGAAACCCAAAGCCAGAGGCTGTGTTGGAATGCATGCAGTCAATCAGGTAACCTCTGCCCAGTCCCAGGTCTTTTGAATCTGAGGCTGGTTTGGTGGGCTGATGGAGCATAGGAGAAAGTTCTGGGGCGGGGGATGTACAGCAGGGAGGGCCTCTGGGGAGGCCCTGAAGACTCTGACTGTCATAATTTGTTCTGAGGGTGCAAGGCTGGGTCCAGGGATGCTTCATTCCAGGAGATTAGGGAGGAGGGGATGAGGACACCACACAAAGGAGAGTCCCCGAATTCAAGCTACAGCAGTGCGCTTGTAACCCCAGCACCCAGAAGTACATGCCAGGTCGCAGCCTAAGCTAAACCTTGAGCTCCAAGCTGAGCTAGAGACAGGGTGTGAGGATCCTGGAGGGGACTCATGGCTGAAGAGGCTCACAGCTCTTGCAGAGGACTGGGGTTCAGTTCCCAGCATTCACATGGCAGCTCTCAGCTGATTGTAATCTATTTCCAGGGGATCACTGCCCTGTCAGCCTTCCGTTGGACCTCCGTGGGCTCCTGTATGCATATGGTGCAAGCACACGCACTCAGGCGTGAGCACGTACAGTTGTGAAGAAACCGAAGAGCTGCTGGGCGGTGGTAGCACAGCCTTTCATCCCAGCACGGGGGAGGGGGCCCAGGGGCAGGCGGATCTCTGTGAGTTCGAGGCGAAGCCAGCCTGGTCTACAGAGCAAGTTCCAGGACAGCCTCCAAAGCCACAGAGAAACCCTGTCTCAAACACACACACATATACACACACAAAACTGGGCGTGGTGCAAGCCTTTAGTCCCAGCACTCAGGAGGCAGAGGCAGGTGGATCTCTGAGTTCAAAGCCAGCCTGGGCTATATAAAGCTGGGGCTGCAGAATGAGAGAGACCTGTCTCCATACAAACAGACAAGAATCCTAGGGGTGGCCCACACCTTTGATCCCATGGCTTGGGAGGGAAGGGCAGGTGGATCTCTGTGAATTCCAGTCAGTCTGCTTGCTCTGCAGAGTGAGATTATGTCTACAAACATCACAACAAAACAACGGCCTTAACTCACTAGCTTTGCTCTTGGCTAGTGTGGAGGGAGCCCTGGGTTCCGGTCACAGCACCGCACTAATGGGCTGCACTGGCTCAGGGCTGTCACCCCACACTCCCAGTTCTAGGAATAGGGTGAGGGACGGAGCGTTAGTCTGGAGGAGCCATGGGAGAACAGTCAGTTTGTTCACCGGGTGAAGAGTTACTTGGTGGTGTCATACCCCCAAGACTTAGGTGGTGGGGGATCTGGCCCTGAGAGTGGTCTGAAGGAAGATATCTGAAGAAAAACACCGGAGTGCTGCTCTGGCCCATACCTGCATGCAAGTGTGCACTTGCAAGTGAACACACACACCCAGACACCGTACACAGACGGCACCCACGCGCACACACACACACACACCACACACACACACACACAGACACCGTACACAGACAGCACCCACGCACACACACACACCACACACACACACCCAGACACCGTACACAGACGGCACCCACGCACACACACACACCACACACACACACCCAGACACCGTACACAGACGGCACCCACGCGCACACACACCACACACACACACACACACAGACACCGTACACAGACAGCACCCATGCACACACACACACCCAGACACCGTACACAGACGGCACCCATGCACACACACACACACACCCAGACACCGTACACAGACGGCACCCACGCACACACACACACCGCGTGCGCGCACACACACCATGAACAAACTAATCAAATAGGACTACACAGACGGGACCTTTCAGGGGCTGGGGTAGAGCACATCCCAGCGTACACTTGATCCTAGGTTTGTTCCCCATCTCCAAATTAAGAACTAAATATGGAGGGGGGGGGAGAGATGATAGCTCAGAGGGTAAGGGCTCTGGCTGCTTTCCGAATAGATGCAGGTTCAGTTCCGAGTATACCCAAGGGTGGCTCACAACCATTTTAACTCCAGTCCTAGGGTGGGTGCTGACACCCTCTTCTGGCTTCCGTGTGCAGCACACACATGGTGCAGACTCAGAGGCACAGAAGAGAGCATGTAAAGGCGCTTGCTTCCAAGCAAGACAACTTGCATTCACTCCCGGGACCTTGTTCTCCGGCCTCCACCCCAATGCCGTGGGATTAAAGGCGTGTATCACTTTGAATACAGGTGTGGGTGCAATCTGTCGGACACTACCAAAGGTAGATCCCGTCACCACACTGAAGCCAGCGGTGGCACACGAGGCTCTGAGTGTGTGAGCATGTGAACACGCTTGGCACTCCAAGCCTCACCCACTACTAATAAAGCTGAATTTGCAGAGTCCTTTGACTCTTTTGAAAATGACTGCAGGACCTTCCCTGGTGGGCAGGTTAACCCTTGACCAGCATGGTTCCCTGGGTTCCACTCCCAGCACTAAAATATTTATACATCCATGGAGCTCCAGAATATTCCATCACAAGAGGCCATCTCCTCACAAGCCTTTGACCTCCCCAGCACTCCTCACCGTCCCTGCTTTCTCCAATGCCTCTGGGCGTCTGACAACATCTCTCGGGCATCATGTCCTGGCTGTGTGGCTCGAGTGTGACTGAGCCTTCATTTCCTGCTCACGCCTGGTGACACTCTAGCAGGTAAGCTTTATCTACACCACACTGACCTTCCTCTCAGTGGCCAATGGACAGAAACGTGACCTAGGGGAGCCGAGCAGTTTGCCGTGGCTGCAGGACAGCAGGGCCCGTGGTCATGTGGGAGGGCCATGGGGTTGTTGGGTGATAAGAGTGACAGATGGTTGTGGAGCTGGGAGACTGTAGGGAGCCCAAGGGCTGGGGCCCAACTTCTGGCCTGCTTCTTGCGTGCTCTCAGCCCACGCCCAGAACCCTCTGAAGGGTGCTGGGCCCCCAGTGATTCAGGGCCTAGACACAAGGGTGGCTTATGCTGGGCAGGCCATATGGAAGGCCCATTGGGGAACAGTCACCAGGGCAGGACCAGTCTTATCTGAAGGATGCAGACCTGCCCAAGGAAAGCTGGTCTTACAGTAGGGGGGCTAGGGGCAGAGGACAGGGATGGCATCCCCTCTCTGGTAAGACAGAGGGGTGATGGTGGCATCCTAGAGCTCTGCAGACGATTGACAGGTTAGTGGGCTGTACAGGATGGAACCTCAGGGAGGCCTCATCTCACACCCCATGGATGCTGGGGTCATTGTTCCCTATCCTGGAGAGACATTACAAACCCTGGGTCCTCTGGAATAGTCACAACTGTCAGCTCCCTGAGCAGTCTGCAGTGCAGCCACAGAATTGTGTCATCTTGGAGGAGGCTGCCCTGGTACAATCCAGTGGCAGGGAGGGAGGCCCTAGTGGGTGACAGCAGGCCAGAGGTACCAGCTCTAGCTTTGGGTGCTGTCCAGTCTGGAGGAGACCCCGTGTGACACAGGCAGTCAGGTGCAGACACTAGGCTCTGTAGAACCACTGAAGTGTCTGATGGGTGACGTTGCTTTAGGCAGACAACCCCTCCCCAAGCCTCCCTGAGGCCCAGAAGCAGGGGGTTCACAGCCTGGGCAGCAGGCACTGGGGGTTCACCAGGTACCCTCAGAACTGTGACTCACACACAACAGTGAAGTCAGAGGCCTGAGAAGTTCCTACTATCGGTTTATTGAAGGAAGCGAGTTCCTGGTTGGCTGCTGGCCCTCAGCTCAGGGAGGCTGGGCGACCCTGAGACCCTGGCAGCAGTTCCAACCCTGGCCTATGACACTGAAAGGCAGGAACAGTGAGGTGTGTTTCCAGAACCTTCCTCCAGCACCCAACAAAGCTTGTAGCTCCTTGGTGCCGAGCACGGCCTCTTCCTGTGGTGAGGAGTTGGGGTGCAGGCTGCCTCGCAGTTGGGTCCTCGAACTTCAGCTTTCAGTGTGGGGCTTCTTGCCAGGGAGCAGGAGCGAATGAGTCCAAGGCCCACGGAGAGCTCCCTGGGAAGACGGAGGCCTGCCTCCTGCTGGCCTGGCCCCGCCTGGTCCCCGCAAGGCTGGGGCAGTCTGCAGCCCGGACTTGGGCCAGGCATCTGGAAAAGGCGGAAGGGAAGCCATTAGCAGCCTGCCTAGGGGATGGCCACACCTCGTGCCCTGGCCTGCGGCACCTGTGCTAGACACGCTCAGAGTCAGGCTCGTCCTCGTCTTCGTCCTCATCGTCGTCCTCCTCGGTGCAGGCCTTGTCCAGGGGCACCTCCCCGTCCCGGGCCAGCTCCTCCACGTGCGCCAGCATGTCCGCCATCAGCGCCTCCTCCAGGCGCTTGCGCACCTGCTGCACCAGCTCCTCCTGCTTCCTGGGAAGAGGCACGCTGACAGGCACCTGGCTGGGGCTGGCCACCGCAAGGAATCCAGTGACCAGTCCACGAGCAGGCCGTCCTCAATCCCTTCCAAACTCCAGAATCCCCCATCAGCTTGAATGACCACCGGTCTCCTAACACTTTCAATTTCTCGCACCCAAGCTATGTAGAAGTCACAGCCTAGGGCCAACGCAGCTCCAAGTCCACACAAAGCAAGCAGATCCAGGGCCCCGGGGACACCACGGGCCCTGCTCTTGTCCCTGTCTGACTCCTGGTCTGAGATGGGGCCTTGTCTCAGGCGCTCAGGCCTGGTCCACACGGAAGTGCAGAGCCACTTCAAGCCCTCTCCCTCCCCTCCTATTCACAGCCTGGACCCTTCCTGAGGGCTGTTGCTCGGGTCCAGCCCCACCAAGCTTCTCTGTTTCCCAAATCATCTGGGCCTGTGGTAGTCATGGTTACTGAGCAAGCCTGAACCTCACTGTCTTACCCAGGCCCTCAGGAATCCGAGGAACCAGGTAGTTGCTGGCCTGCCCTGCATCCCCGCCTTATATAACTAACTGGAGACGAGGAGGGGCATGGGGCCTCCAGTTACCTGATGTCGTCGTCAGTCACCATGAAGGCTTTGCAAAGTGGCTGGGTGGTATTTAGCCACACGCCAGGATTCTTCTCCACAGCTGCAGAGAGCTGGCCGGTGATGGGCAGGGTGCTGGTGTGCAGGGCGCTGGCGATGGCTGACAGCAGAGTCTCGTCTGTGCAGCCTGGGCCCACCCCTGTGGGAGAACAGCGGTGAGGAAGGGGCACGGGAAGGTAAAGGTTCTCCCACTTCCCATGGGCTCCGAGTTCCATCTGGGAGCCATGACCCCACCCCAGGCCAGTCTCTGTCAAAAGACACGGAGCCGATCCAGAGGCCCCACCAAAGCCTGGCACCCCAGGTGAAGGCAGCAGACAGGCATGTGTGTGAGCTGAGGCCTGCGGGCCCACACTGAGATTCTGGGGGGGAGGGCTGGCATAACAGTGCTCACTACTCTGCAGAGGCCCTGGGAGTGCTCCCCACCGCCTCTAACTGCAGTCACAGGGGATCCGACGCTCTCTGGCCTCCTTTGGCACCTGCACCATGTGGTACAAACAAACTCGCACAGGCACACACACACACAGACACACACACACACAAATGCATCTTTAAAAAAGAAGAGGCCCGGGCTGGAGAGATGGCTCAGAGGTTAAGAGCACTGACTGCTCTTCCAGAGGTCTTGAGTTCAATTCCCAGCAACCACATCGTGGCTGACAACCATTTACAATTCAATCTGGTGTATATGTAATAAATAAATAAAATCTTAAAAAAAAAAAAAAAAGAAGAGGCCCTACCAGCCACCCACCCCAGCTCACCCTGCAGGCCCTTGGGCAGGTCCATGGTTCGGACAAGCTCCTCCGCGATGTCGAAGGCGCTCAAGCCACTCAGCTTTTTCTCCCAGAACAGCTTTAGGGAGAGAGAGGCAAAGTTACAGAGGCAGAGGTGGGAGGGGCCCTGGGCTGTTTACAAATAGGCCTGAGAAACACAAAGGGGCCTTGGCTTTTGTTATGTTGAGTTTTTCTTACCTTTTTTTTTTTTAAGTCAAGGTTTCTAACTGAGCCTAAAACCTACAGCCTCAGACTCACAAGTGCTGGGCTAAGGGCGTGGGCCACGAAGCCTAGCCCGCCTTTCTAAGGAGTAAATGCTTTCCGAGCAGGCTTGGAAGCCGGGAATGTAGCTCTGGGGCAGGGACCCTTGCATATCTCGTCCAAGGCACTAACTCCTTTCACCCCTAAAGAGCGAGCTTTTGCACGGAGTCTCGAGGACGCCTAAAACCGCACGCGGGGGGGGGGGAGCGGGGGCTCACCTGCCTCGGCTGGTCCACGGCCTTCTGCGGGTCACTCTTGACCTTGTTGCTGGGGTGGTTGGTGATCTTGGTCACCGGCTGCTTGAAGATGGATGCGGTCTGCCGCACAGGCAGCGCAGTGTTCAGGTCAGGCTTGCCCTGGGGGGGAGAAGACTCTGCAGCGGGCCGCTCCGACCGGGGTCCATGGAGGGTTGGAGGGGCCAGGGAGGCGTTTAGCCAGAGCCTGAATGGTGTTGGGTGGGCGATCAGGCGGGCAGATCTCCCACCCACCAAACCAAATGCGCGCCATGCTTTTGCCAGCAGATACTGACTCGATGGCGATGGTGGTTAACACAGAGGGCCCGCCCCCTACCCTGACGTCACCACCCTCACCTTGACCTGGTTGGAGGAGTCATAGCGCACGCGCTGGCGGCTCTTATTCATCTTGTTCATAAGCATTTTGCCAGTGCGGAAATCGAAGGTGCTGAGGTCCATGGAGCCGCCCAGGTAGCGTGCCAGCTGTGGCTTGCTGCGGAACTTCTTGCCGCTGGGGCTGCGGGCGGGAGGCTGGTCAGCCCGAGCAGAACCCACCCTATCCACCACCCTTGGGAGTGTTCTCCACACCTCAGGGTTTCAGAAGGTCATAAGGAAAGCAAGCAGGAAAAAAAGCCCTAACGGGCCCATACCCCTCTGCTGCCGGGCCAGAAGTCAGTCCCTTGCTCTCCAGAAATCTCCTATCTGTAGGGCTACAGGGCTGTATTCATTTATTTTGGGGGACAGGTCTCAAAACTCACTATGCAGCCAAGAATTCCTAATTCTGCTTCCAGCTCCTGAGTGGCCACTGTCCGGATTCAAGTGTTTCTGAAGATAGGATCCATGGCTTCAGGGTGGCTAGACTCATCAACTGAGTGAGCCCGTTTTTTTTTTTTTTTTTTTGACTGATTTTGAGACAGGGTCTCATACTCCATGCTAGCCTTGAACCTGCCATACAGTCAGTGCTGCCTTCAACTCCAAAGTGTGGGCTGCCATGTTTCTTTTTTTTTTTTCCTCCGAGGCAGGGTTTGTCTGGGTAGCCCTGGCTGTCTGGAACTCGCTTTGTAGGCCAGGCTGGCCTTTAACTCGAAGAAATCCACCTGCCTCTGCTTCCTGAGTGCTGGGATTAAAAGCGTGTACCACCACCGCCTGGTCCAGCATGTTCTCTTGAGCCCATTGATATAGGACAGGCTAAATTCCAGGTCTTCTGAAGGCTGGTTCACACCCAAACCTGTGCTGAACACTCACAGAGCAAAAGGTGGGGGCAGCCTGTGTGGTCCTAGATGGACAGTCAGTGCCACCACATCCGGAAGGGGAGGGCAAAGCTCTGACATAGGGCAATACGGAGGAGCCCTGAGGAGGTTGTCCTTAGGAAGCTGTAAAAGGCTACATCATATAGGTAACTCCATGGACAGGAATGTTCCAGAATAAGTAGATTTGTCAGGGCTGGAGTGAAATGTTCTAGGGTTGGTTTTATAGTTGCACAACCATTGTTATCAGTAAAGTCAGAAATGGTGACAGGCCGGGTGTGGTGAGCTGGCATGGCCAGCTCTGGGTTCCGTCCCTGCTTTAGCCCGAATGTGGGAGTGTGTGGCTCACCGTACATCTCACTGGCAATCCCTGTCACTCTTTGCAGCTGAGATTGGTGTTGTCTGTTGGGAGCCTCTTGCATGGGACTGTCCTGCATAGACAGACAATGATGCCCCAGACAAACACAGAACCCACTCTGCCAGGAGGAAAGATTCCCCAAAATGAGGACCACACAGAAAACAGAAGGCCAAAGGCTTGGTATGTGTCCGGCCTACAGTGAGGCATCCGAGCCCACACTGCTCGCCAGGGCCTGGGATCCCAAAAGAACTGGGTTGTCACTAAGCCTACGCGCTGTCCCAGGCTTTAGACCCAGCCAGGCACAAGTCTGATTGGCAGTGCTCAGAGGGTGGGGAGCATGGGACGGTGTAAGGCGGCACCAGACTGTAGCTGAGGGTGACTGAGATCAGGTCCTCCGTCTCCACCTTGAGTGCTGCGGTGACAGGCACAGTACAACCTGGTATTTGTGTGTTTGTTGGTGATGGGGCTGATCGCATGTTGGGCAAGCTCCAGCCTTAGCCCCTGGCTCATTTTAAATGATAAATACTCTGGGCAAGCACCTGTCTGAACATGCTAAAAGCCCTCTGCCTCTTAAGTGGCTCTGGCACACAGGCTGGATCATCTCAACAAAGCTGTATCAATTTTAAAAACATAACATACATTTCTCTGAGGAAGGAGGGGCCCCAAGTTTTGGGCCAGCCTGGGCTACACAGCAAGAACCCGCCTCGAAAATATAACAAATCCAAGTGAGAATGGCTGTTGGTGGCTGGGATGGGAGGACTTCTGGTGTGTGTGGCAAACCCTGCACAGCCCTGTTGACACACTGCTTCAGCACGGAAGTCACCTGACTGCTCACCAGGGAAGGTGCAGGGAGCTCAGACTCAAATACCCTGGACAGGTCCCGGCTGAGAGTGCAATGAGTGTGTGGGAGGGTACTCCCCGAGGAACCTAACACAAGAGCCTTTCCCAGTAACAGGGTGTCTTGTACAAGTGAGTTGGGTGGCATTTGTAGCGGGGGGTGGGGGGGGGTGGTGGTGGTGGGGGGGGGTGGCGCAAGGTGGCTTTGGACCAACTCCCAAAGGAGGAGGCCACTGTCTGGGCCACACCAAGCACCAGGTGCCTCACCACTTTGTGCTTTAGACAGAGGTGGGGATACTTCTGCTCTACTCTCTAGTGGCAGGGCCACAGGGCCAGGCCGGGTCCCAGGAAGAAGGTAGCAGAGCTGGGATCATGGCCTAAGGACTCCAGAGGGCAGAACCCCAGGGTCACAAGCCTTAGAAAGCTTGCCAGTCAAGGTTGGGCAAGTCAGGGAAAGGAGGAGGGGACGCATGCACTTGCTGCCTCACTGGGGAAAACCCCTCAGACCTTTAGGAACCAACAGCCCGACCCTCGTCCCAGCCGAAGGGAACCTGAGTAGGTACTGGCCTCCAACCTCATCTATTACGCAAACCCCAGACTACACAAGACCAAAGGGGCAGCCAGAGACATGCACAAAGCACCCATGCAATCCCGACTGCAGCCAGGAGGGGCAACTACAGCCAGCTCAACAAGTAGATGCTGGGAGGGTATCGTAGCAGCAGGGCGCTGGTCGAGCATGCACGAGGCCCAGGGCTCTATACCACCGCAAAAAAAAAAAAAAACAAAAACAAAAACTTAAGGGCAGACAATAAACAGCAGGTGCAGGCTGCCCGGCTGCAATCAAGTCAGCTGTCCCTGCCCCGCCATGGGTTGCAAGCCAGCCTGGTTTACGTAGACTACTACCTAGACGTCTTGGGACACAAAAGGTTCAATCAATGTTCACAGTGCTCAGAAGCGGCTGTGGCAGATGTCACTTCTGGGGGCACGAATGAAGAGCAAGGGCTTTGGGAGAACCACAAAAGCGGGGGGGGGGGCACTTTGTAAGAAAAGAAAAAGTCAGAAATATGCAGCTGAGGGTTATCAGGTCACCTGGGCAAGGTCGCCCTGCTCCCCGGAACCCCGGTATGGTCCCCGCGAGATTCCCAAGAGGGTCAAAGGGTCGGTCCAGCCCCCCGCCCCCGCTTCCCAGCGGCGTCTGGCCAAGGCCGGGAGCCCCTCGCCGGCGCGCGCGGTCCCGGACTCCGCAGAGGACAAAAGCTCGCGCCACGGGCGGGCGCCAGGCCACGAGGCCGCTGTGGCAAGCGGTGCGCACGCGCGCCGAGTGACAGCCGCGCTGGGCCGGACGCACGCGCACTGGGCGGCGAGCCGAGAAAGGCGCGTGCGCACTGGCCACAGCTGGCGCGTAGGACGCACGCTCGGACGCACGTCGCCTGGCCCAGACCGCGGCCCGCAGTAGGGGCGCCCGGGCCGCCGCAGAGGCCGCTGGGAGGCGCCCGTTGGGGCCCTGCGCGGCCGGCGCGCTCATTCACCTATAGTAAAAGACATCCCTGTGGCCGGCCGACAGCCCCGACCTCCTGGGCACTTCTTCCCTTTCCCAGCCCTGCGGGAGCGCCGGGCACTCCCACCTCTTCCGCTCCATTGCGCCCCGGCTCTCCGCCCGCCTCCGGGCCCGCCGTCGCCGCTGCCGCCGCCGCCGCCACTCGCGACCCCCCGATCGTCGCCGTCTCGGTTCCCTCCGCCGCCACTGCTACTCGCCGCGGCTGTTCCGACCCACGGGCCTCCGCCCTCCGCCCCCAGCCGGGCGCGCGCCGGCTTTGCCACCCGCTCGGCCCCCTCCCCGCGCTTCACAGCCCCCGCTAGGGGGGCCGCTCCGCCCACCCGCCCGCGAGTGGAGCCCGTCTGCGCAGTCGCGGCGTTGGCCCCGCCCCTCCCGACTCGTGGGACTTGTCTGACGGCGCGCGGACGCTCTGCGCAGCCGCCGCCTCGGTCCCACCCCCCCACTCGCTCTCAAGACCCGCCCTACGGCGAAGAGGCCAATCGGAGCACTCTGGGCTCTTCCGCTCAAGAGTACCTTACGGGCCCCGCCTAGGCTCATTAGTAGGACACGCCCCGCCGTGGCGAGACCAATCAGAGTACTCAGGATGTCTTCGTTCACGTGTACCAGAGACTGGGCGGCCAATCAGCGTGGCGGGGGCGGCACAGCGACCGCCCTTGCGCTTGGACTCCACATGCAAATTGAGTCCTGCACAGGTCCCTGCCGCGGTGGATTTGTTACCGCCGGGAGGCGCTTCTGTCCGGGGCCGTGCTCGGCTGCACCTGCGCGGGGAGCGTTTGGCCTGGCGCCTGGGACCGTGATCTGGTACAGCTCCAGTCCTCCTGCCTCAGCCTCCCACACTACTGGAAGGACAGGCGTGCACCACCATACCTGGCTTCACCCAAAACTTTTTTTGTTGTTTGGTTTTTGAGACAGGGTTTCTCTGCGGCTTTGGAGGATGTCCTGGAACTCGCTCTGTAGAGAGATCCGCCATCTAATTTTCCAGGCAGGGTCTCCCAGCCTGTAACTCCGTTTTGCCTGAACTGACTGGCTAGGGAGGTCCCCGGGGTTACAGGCATGTGTCCTGCTGAACTTTTCTGTGGATGCTGGGGAAAGGTTCACGTTCTCTTGTTTGCTTGGTAAGCAGGTTACTGAACTGTATTACTTCCGCTTGTCTAAACGAGTAGTCTCTCGTAGCCCAGGGTTCCCAACCTTGCTTTAAAGCGGGGGACGGACGACCTCGTGCTGAGCCAGTGGCAGAATCGACCCCAGAGCCCGGCTTCTGACCTGTAGTTTTCCCATTCACTTCCTGCCTGCCTGAAACGCGTCCCAGAGGCTGAACGCCAGTGGTCAGGTCTGATGGAACCACACCCCAGCCTCGATTTAACTTGGACAGTCTATGCTCTGTAGCCCAGGCTGTCCGTCGCCCCATCCTGCCTCAACCTTCCAGGCATGGAGTCTGAACCCCCGAGATCAAGTGTCACTACATTACTCCTGCAGCATCGTGAGTGGCTGAGGCCAGGCCTGCGCTGAGTTCTCTTTAGTAGAGTGACTTTGCCTCCACGTCTGTCTGCTTCAACTGTGCATCTGTGTGGGATGCCCTGAGGCGGAAGCCACTCTCTAGGCACTGGGACTGAACTTGGATCCTTTACCATGGAGCCATCTCCAGTGCCTTCTTAGTCACCTCCCACCCCGACTCTCTGAGACCAGGTCTCATGTAGCCCAGGCTGGCCTCTCCAGGTTGACTGAACTCTTGATCCCCCAGCGAGACAAAAAGCCACTACATACCCCACACTGAATGAACTCACAAGAATCTGGCAGCAGCAGATAATAAAGTAGTTAGAGGGGCTGGAGAGACGGCTCAGAGGTTAAGAGCACTGGCTGCTCTTCCAGAGTCCTGAGTTCAATTCCCAGCAACCACATGGTGGCTCACAGCCATCTGTAATGAGATCTGGCGCCCTCTTCTGGCCTGCAGGGACATATGCAGGTAGAGCACTGTATACATAACAAATAAATCTTTAAAAACAAAGACCCTTAAGCCGGGCAGTGATGGCGCACGCCTTTAATCCCAGCACTCGGGAGGCAGAGGCAGACGGATCTCTGTGAGTTTGAGGCCGGGCTGGACAGACAGCCTCCAAAACAATACAGAGAAACCCTGTCTCGTAAAACCAAAACAACAACAACAACAACAAAAAAGCAAAAACCACAAAGACCCTTTAAAGTAGTTAGAGGAAAATGTGTACCATTGTGCCAGGGTGGACGGCAGTTTTTTTTCTTACCAGAACCACTTTCTAGGGCTGCGTCTGTGGCTCACTTGGCCCAGCTCTCACCACACAAGGGGCCCTTCTGGGACATTCTCAGCCCCGCAAACACAGGCCTGGCGGTACACACTTGTTATCCTAGCTAAGGTCAGCCTTGGCTACATATTGAATTTGTGGCCAGCTTGGGCTACATAAGACACTATCTCAAAAACAAACTAAGCAGGGCAGTGGTGGCGCAGCCTTTAATCCCAGCAATCGGGAGGCAGAGGCAGGCGGATCTCTGTTGAGTTCAAGACCAGCCTGGTCTACAGAGCGAGTTCCAGGACAGCCAGGGCTACATAGAGAAACCCTGTCTCAAAACCAAAACCCAAACCAACTGAACCAGGAAGGAAGAAGCCCTGCTCTGCTAGGCATGGTGCTGGAACAACCCTGAACACCGATGTGAAAGACGGGCCAGCCCCAGAAAACACAGTGCAGTTTCCATCTGGAAACACTTGAGTGTGGTAAGGATGTCTGCATGCCATCCAAGACTCCCAGATGTCCAAACATGGGTGCTGACACGAGCCCTGAGGTGGGGAAGCTTTGAGGAGGAGATGAGGCGTCAGAGGTGTGAGAACAAGGTTTAATGCTACACCCATCAATAAGGCAGCCCGTGTGTCCGTAACCTCAGAGCGACCGGGATGATGCAGGCTTCCTCATTCCTCCACCGGGATGAGCCGTTTCCGAGGCAGCAGGCTGTGACCTGAGGGAGGGGACAGCACAGGGTGAGCTGAGCACACCAGGAGCCAGCCCAGGGGCCCGTGTCACACGGGCTACAGGTCCTCGTCTGAAAGATGGGGATCGAGAGTGGTGGTGGGGACACTTGGTAAGTAAGTGCCTACCACAGAGTCACACGGACCTGAGCTCCATCTACAACAGACGTGCAAAAACCCAAAACAACAAAAAACCAGGCGAAGTTCCAGCCAGGCGTTGGTGGCGCACGCCTTTAACCCCAGCACTCGGGAGGCGAGGGCAGGCGGATCTCTGTGGGTTCGAAGCCAACCTGGTCTGCAGAGTGAGTCCCAGGACAGCCTCTGAAACAATACAGAGAAAACCCTGTCTCGAAAAAAAAAAACAAACAAAACAAAAAACCAGGTGAAGTTCCATCTCCAACAGACATGCAAACAACAAAACACGTGGCTGGCTGGCCAGTCTAGCCAACCATGAGCTCGGGGTTCCACAAGACACCTGTAGGGTTGGCATGGAGATGGCTCAGCTGTGAGGCAGCAGCTGCTTTTACAGAGGACCCGGGTTTAGTTCCCAGCACCACTCAGGGGCTCACAACCAGCAGGGGCTCCAGGTCCAGGGGCTCGGTGCCCTCTTGTGGAGGCTGTGGGCACTGCAGATGTGTGTGTAGAGGGCTGCTGTGCAACACTGAGGAGCTGGCCTCAAGCCTCTGGAACCACAGAAAAGCCAGGGACAGCCTGCAGTCCCAGCGCCCGGAGAGAGAGGCGGGGACAAGCCGATCCCACGAAGTCACTGCCGCCAAATAACCGAGCCAAAGTGGCAGTCTTCAGGTTCACTGAGAGACCTTGTTTCAAGGCAATAAGGTACAGACAGATAGGGGAAGACACCCATCTCGGTCCCTCCATACCTGTACACGTGCACACACACACACACACACACACAGGCACGCACGCACGCGCACACACACTGGGGCATGAGTGGTCTACACTGGATTGTCCTGTGGCAACAAGCTACCAGCAAAAGAAAAATAGCCAGTTTGTTGTGGCTAGATGAAGATAGTCTTGCACACCCTCAGCACATTCCAACAGGCCTGGGGCCTCAACTCTCCCATCTGTATAATGGGTGTCTGCATCCCAGCAGCTCTGTGAGCTGCCTTGCCAGTCCTTCATTTGAGGATGTGTCCAGGATCCATAATGCTGGGTAGTAGAGAGGTCTTAGGTATCCCCTGTTCTACCTCCAGGCCACAGAACTCCCAACCCACAGCAGTCAGGCCCAACACTCAGACTCACCAGGGAGACGGTGCATGGCAGACGTTTGCCTAATCATTCTTCTTAAACTTGCCATTGATGTAAGGTACCCAGTCCAGGATCAGCCGCCAGTCTGTGGCCCATACCACCCCCACGGCACCCACAGCACCCCACATGCTGGCCGTGGGGATCCTAGGGGGACAGAGGCAGTTAGACACTCCTGGTGAGCTACCCTTTGAAAGCCTTCTCCCACGATACCACACTGTGATGTCAACCAAGGGCCTTCCCAGTGCCTGACCACAGGGCACTTGGGAAGTTGAGGCAGGAAAGCTTTTGAGTTCAAAACTAGCCTAAGTTTTGAACTAGGGGACACACATCTTTAATCCCAGCTCTCAGGAGGCAGAGGCAGGCAGATCTCTGTTATTTTGTGGCTAGCCTAGTCTACAGATTGAGTTCCATGACAGCTAGAGCTATTTTATAGAGAAACTGTCTCAAAAAGAAAGAAACAAAACCAAAAAAAAAAAAAAAAAAAAAAAAAAAAAAGACAAAAGAACTTGAATTCCAAGCTCTGGGCATGAAATCATTGCATGAGGTAACTTGGGACTAGTTCATCATAAGACCTTCCCCTTTTGGGCAACAGACCCAGGCTGCTGGGAGTCTGGTTCACACTGACCCAGTTGGTTAGGTCACTGGACCATGTGAAGTTTGGAGAGAGCCTGCGAACCTTAACTATGCAGATCATGAAGATACCAGCCACCCAGCTACACTGCTAGAAACTCCCCTGTCCTCTACCAAGACACCCAGGGTGTCGCCTCCAAACTTCAGACACAAATAATACCTCCTACAGGTGTGCCCCACACGTGGCCTCCCAACAGGTATAGCAGTCACAAAACCCACATTGCCATCAGCCTACCCTGTGGGGTCACGCGGATCTATCTAAAAAATCACGAACCCATGTATTTATCAGTCTATTTCTTGATACAGTGGTATACCTATAGGCATTAATGCATTATCCGCAATCATCTATCCACGTATCTATCCATCTATCATCCATTTATTGAGACAGGGTTCCATGTACCCCACTCTGGCTTGGAATTTCTCCTGCCTGCATATCCCTGGTGCTGTGATGACAGGCCGGTGGTACAGTGGCCGGCTTGGAATTCACTATGTATCAGAGGATAGCCGTGAGTTTCTGGTTCTCCTGCCTGCATATCCCTGGTGCCGTGATGACAGGCCTGTGGTACTAGGAGTGGCCCCTGAGACCTCAGAATTGTAACTTCGGGACTGTAGTGTTAATTTGATAACTTGTACAATATACACACTTTGTTGCTTGTTGCTATGGAACCCCTGGTACCCAAGGCTGGCCTTGAATTCCTCGTGCTCCTGCCTCCATCTCCTAAGTGGGTACCACGATGCCAGGGACGTGTGCGCTAAGTACTGCAGACTGGGACCGAGCCTCACGCACGCTGCATGGGCCACGGCTGTAGACTCAACACTCCTGGGTGACAACCGTTTCAGAGGGCTGGGGGTGTCCCTCAGAAGCACGAGCTGGACAACAGTGCTACTATGGTCTGCATCTCATTCCCGTTGTTAAAAAGGTAAACATTAAAATTAAATGTAACAATGTTAAAGCTGGGAGGTGGGGGCTGGAGAGATGGCTCAGTCGTGGGGGTCACTGCTCCTGCACAAGACCCAAGTCTCCAACTACGAGGGATCCAACCCCTTCGGGCACCTGCACTCGCGAGCACACAAACACAGACACACATATACAAAAAGTCGGAAATGAGCCAACATTCAAAAGTGAACAAAGGAGGCTGGCGAGATGCTCCCGGGTCCGGTTCGATCCCCAGCACCCACACGGTGCTCACAGCCATCTCTAGTTCTGGGTCCAGGGATCCGACGCCCTCTTCTCGCCCACGCGGCTCCCAGGCAACACGGCACATGGGCTTGCATGCAAACAGAGCACTCGGTGACTGTGGGTGCCTGTGACTTCAGTATTCAAGGAGGGTGACACAGGGGCATTGCTGGGAGTTCGAGGCCAATTTGGGTTACGGAAACCCTGTTCCAAAGAAAATCAAGACGCTAAAACCAGAGTCAAGGGCTACAAGGTACTAGGTTGAGTCCCGAGCCGTAGGCGCGCAGGGTACCCACCCGAACCACACAGAGATCCTCAGGTCGGGCTGGGGAAACTGAGGCTGGGAGCAGCTCAGACTGACCTCGGATGCTTGCTCCACCTGCACCGAGTCCTTCAGCTGCCCCGGCCTCAGTTTCCCCCTCTATACCCAGAGCATACGGGGGATGGTGGGCGGCCTCCTCACCAGTTCTTGGCCAGTTCCCGGTATCGCGGGCCCAGAAACCTGCTCAGCATCGCGGCAGGGTCTCTACACTCGGGGTCACCCTGCGCCCGTCGCCTTGGAGCACTGCGCATGTGCGGACCTACGGCGCCTGCGCGACCGGAAGCGCACCACCCCTTCCGGCGGCGACGCTGGGTCGATTCCGAAGACGTTGACATCTGCTTCCGGGGAGGGTTCCGGGCTGCTGCGTCCTCGGAGGCTCCGAGCCCGCGGTACAGGACGCGCTGGCGACGTCTCCGTGCGCCTGGCTTCGGGCCCGGGTGCCCCGCGGCGGGTCGGGGTTGCCGCCGTGTCCCGGAGGGGGCTCGTGCGAGCTCCCAGTGACCCCGGCCGTGCCCCCCTCCCCGGCGCACACTCCCAGGACGCACTTCCGGGCTGTCCCGCCAGGGGAAGGCGCAGCCTTTGCCCCCGGGGCCTCACTTTTGTGGGTGCCCGCCCGTGGCTCCTGTGGCTTCCTGAGGGCTGTAGGGTCACCTCTGCCACTGTCCTTCGCCTGGCGCCAACCGAGACCACAGAGCTACACCTGCGCTTTTAACTCCAGAACTAGGAGGGCAGACGCAGGAGGCAAAGGCCTAATAGTTATGTCTCAGGTAAAGTCAAAAGATTCGTCTCAAAACTAAGGTGGGAGCCAGGCAGCGGCGCGCACACCTTCAGTCCAGCCCCGGGCGGTTCTTTGAGTTCAGGCCAGCCTGGTCTACAGAGATCTGGCACGGGCTCCAAAGCCGCAGTGAAACCCTGTCTTGAAAAACAAAAAAGAAAAAGGAAAACACCAGCTGCTCTTGCAGAGGACCTGGGTTCGGTTCCCAGCACCCACATGGCTGCTCACAACCACTTGTGACTCAGATTCTGGAGGGTATGATGCCCCCTTTTGGCCGTCACAGCCTGCACACATGTGGTGCACACACATATATACATGCAAAATACCCATACACTAAAAAAAAAGGTTGGGAAACTATGCCTGTAATCCTAGCATCTGGAGCTGAGTTCAAAGCAGGGACCAGGCCAAGCAGACATACACAATGCAATTTTGAGAGGGCAGGGAGAGGGAGTCAGACAGAGGGAGGGACAGAGGGGGAGGGAGGAAGAGACCAAGACCAAGACCAGCTTGGTCTACACAGTGAGTTCCAGGATAGCCTGGGCTGTTACACAGAGAAATCAGGTTTAAAAACCAAACAAAACTGGACTGGAGAGACGGCTCAGCGGTTAAGAGCACTGACTGCTTTTCCAGAGATCCTGAGTTCAATTCCCAGCACCCACATGGTGGCTCACAACCATCTGTAATGAGATCTGGCGCCCTCTTCCGGTGTGCAAGCATACATGCAGTCAGAACACTGTATATTGTATATATAATAAATAAATTTTTAAAAAACAAAACCAAACCCAATAAGGTCGAGGGGCTCAGTGTTAAGGCAGTTGCTGGGCAGCTGTTACACAGGTGGTCACCGTGTAGCGCCTCAGCTTGACTCTCTACCAACTGAGCCGCAAGCCTCGGTCTTGTAACTGGGCAGCGGTGTACAGAGGGTCTATGGACCCCTCTAGGGCACAGGGACTCATGAATGCGTGGCCTGAGGACAGACAGACAGTGTCTGGATACCCCGGCAGACGGGGAACCTGCACGAGCCCGTTGTCTGCCAGCCCACCTTGAGAACTGGCCAGGGAAGCAGGATCGTGCCAGGAATCTTGTGCTCCCTCCAGTCCAGCGCCCCTCCCACAGGCTTCCAGAGGTGCATCTAAAGCCATAGCAAGGGGTTAGTTACTACAGCTCCCAACAGAGTCCCTCACTGCAGATCCGTGGTGTTTGCAAAGGGAGAGAAACTTGGGGACAGCATGGAGCAGGTTTGAACGAGCTGTGGGAGCATGTTTGGTGGTCCCACCAACATCTTTCCCAGAAGCTAGGACAGGAATCTGAAAAGTGGGTCAAGATACTCGGGAGGGGACCAAAGCTTGCACCATCTACAGAAGAGCCAGTGGTGACTATATGTGTGTGGCAGCTAAGTTACTGTTAGCTTTACATCTGGAACTAACCAAAGCGGCTGGGAACACCGCTGACTGGACCCTCAAGGGCATGGGAGGAGGAAGCGAGTGTTTGCTCTTTGTCTGCTCGCCCTCACTCTTGCTGGCAGGGGCATCTACCGTGCAGCTGAGACATTCCTTCAGTGTTAGAGCCCACTTCTTCAGGATCCCAGTGCAGACTGAAGACCAGCAGTTCCCCAGGAGCCTCCAGACTCCAGCGCTGGATTGGGACTGCTGAGACATCCGCCTCGTGGACACAGATCACAGCCTATAAGCCATGCTAATGCCTCATATGTAGATATCTATTCATTCCACTGACTCTTTTCCTCGAGAGACCCCTACAACTTGTCACTCAAGCAGCCAGGGCAGTGAGAGAAAAGGAGCGGAGTCCGTCTGTGGGCCAACTGGTCAGGCAGTTTCAGAAGGAGGCAAGACTGTGGTTGGGCTGTCAGACACGTGCCAGGCAGACAGGCACTGGGTTCGTGTGCAGTGGGAACGGGGGGGAGGCACGGGACGGGGACACTGGACACCCAGACTCTGCCAGGCTTTAGGGTAGGAGTGGCCCTTTGATCAACACTGGATCTTTTGAATGCTACTTTAATAACCTTGTAGACCATGAAATACGACGCTGACTTCTAGAAACAGCAACAGACAGGAGACTTTTATACAAAAATTTGTTGCTTACAAAACATACGCAAAAGAAAGCTTAAAAAAAAAGGACACGGAAGGCCTCGTTCTTGCTAAGTTTTGTCTACATAAAAAAAAAATCTGATAACTAATGGTCTTTTATTCTCCTTAAAAAAAATACGCTTAGGCACGTATGTGCTGGTGGCTGTGAACCAGAAGCCAGCCCCGGCCACCCTGCCAGGGTGCGTCTGATTCTTCCGTCTTCCACACTTAAGGCATCTTTTTTCTCTTAAAAGTGAGCATGCTGCTTTTGTTTCCAGTTTCGGTTAATCGAGAGGGGAGCTCCCTTCAGCTTGGTCACTGGGGTCAGGACACAGGGCTGTCACGGACCCTGAGGCCCTGCATGTCTCTGGAGCCCGAGCCCTCTGCCACGCCTTGCTGGAGACCCGCCTCAGCCAGGGTCCTCCTGGGTGCACCCCGGGGAGAGTGCGGTGGTCCTGGTCCCACGGAGACCCATGTGGCAGCTCACAGGTGCCCGGGCGGGTTGTGGGCCTCACCCAGGCCAGGGTGGGCAGCAGACAGCGCCAGCTGGGGGTCCCCGACCACGCCAGACACCTTCTCCTCCTCCCTCCGCTTCAAGCAGGCTGCTTTGGGGTTCAGGTTGCGCTCTGGAGAGGGGGAGGAAAGCGCAGTGGGCAACGGTTCCGGCGTGGGAACAGGGCGGAGCCGGGTGGGGCGGGAGCAGCCTACCTCGCACCTGCTGCTCCAGGCCCAGGATAACCTGCACCGCCTGCTGCAGGATCAGCAGCTTGGTCTGCGCCTTATCCGACTTGAGGTGCAGCTGGCACATGCGGCCCAGCTCCCGGAAGGCCTCGTTAATGTCCCGCACGCGCACCCGCTCCCGGGCGTTATTGGCCATGCGCCTCTCCCGGTCCCTCAGGTCCTTCTCCTCCAGGGACAGCACCTCGTCCGTACTGCTGGGTCACAGCACCGAGCCTCCGTCAGGGGGGGCTGGGCCATTTCGTGCTATGTGCTAATGTGAGTGGCAACCAGTGTGGGCTGTGTGCATGATGGCGAGTGATGGGTGCGGCTCTTCAATGTGGACAGCGGCGCCCGCCCTGTGCAGGTGACATGGCCCTTAGGGCATATGTCTATGTGTGTTGCAGACCCTGGACTCTGGGAGGCCTGGTGGGTCACTCTGGGAAGAACAAGGCCTCACTGTCCCCTAGCACATGTGAAGAGATTAGGAGCTTACAGGGCAGTGGGCTCTTACTTATCCCTGTCCCTGCTCATGGCTCTGGGTGACAGCATTCAGGGCCGGGCTGCCCTGCAAGGCAGAGGCTGAGGCCTGGACCAAGTCAGGGCTCATGGGAGCAAACGGCACTCAGGTTCGAACCCTGCACCCCAGAGCCATGGCCACCCTAGCTAGGCCAGGAGCATTGCCTCCCAGGCCCACGGCGGTGTCTCCTCCACTGCGAGGGACACCCACGGTGGCCCTACATGACCAAACAAGGCCATGCCCATGGCCTGCAGCTGCCTGATAGGAGTCACATGCTCGCTCGCAAAGGCCCTCCCTCTCAGCCTGTGCTGAGCCTGTGCCTGCATCTCCTCCCTGGGAGAGCGGTGGCGGTCAACACCCTGGCGTCTGGCTGTGAAGCCCGGCCCCCACGTCCTTGCTACCCATGCCTGCTGCCCTGGCATGGACCACATCCCTCTGGGTGGCGGCAGTGGCCCCAGACCTCAGGACAAGCGCACAGACCAAACTGCATGTGGGCACCGGAGGCTGTGCCCAGGGAGCCCTTTCTTCCTGAGGCCCTGCAGGGCCGCATGGGACAGAGGCCCCTAGGTGGCGGTGCAGCCGGCCCTGACGGGCGGCAGGTGCGAGGTGAAGAGCGGCGGCGGCAAGCATGGGTGGGGAAGGGAAGGGACAGGGCGAAAGACAGAGCAGACACGGCAGGCTCGTGGACGGCGTTGCCCACGTACTCTACACCACAGAGACCTTGGACAGCGGCAGAGCCCACCATGCTGCAGGAGAGAAAGGGTTAACGGCAGGCAGGCAGGCAGGCCATGGCGAGCACAGGTTAAGGAAGCAGCGGGGTCCAAGCTGGAGTCCTCCCTCACCAGCCCTGAGGCAGGTGGATTAACACCATCGTGGATGGAGAAGCTGAGCCCCGGACAGACTCTCTAAGGGGTGGGCCCTGCCACGGTGAACAGGGATGGTGGCTGGCATCCCAGCCGGCACTCTGGGATCTTTGTGGGGGAGGGGAGTGACACTGCCCCTAACAGCCAGGCTCTGGGAAAAGGCTGAGCTAGCAAGAGCCTGGGCATGGACAGTCTTGGCTGAAGTCCTCAGGCCAGTGGGGTGAGGATGGCACAGTCCAGACCTGTCACAGACACTGTCCTCAAGACCAGGAAGCTTGTAGGTCAGCCACTACAGGGAAGGGGACAGTCAGAGTGG